CAGGGAACACATTTACAAGTTCAGATCCTAAAGCCATTTCTGCTAGGTCAAGATTTTAAAGTATCTAGTAAATGCCCTGGTGAATAGTTACAGTGGTGAAAGGGACTCCATCCTATGCTGGGTGCTGACCTAGCTCCATTTCCTGCATCACAGTCAGCAATGCCAGGAGTCCCACTAAAATCTGCCTTGCTGCATCTCATGACATTCCCACTGGTCAGAGGCACACAGCTATCTCATCTCTTTACTTTCTTGCCAGCTTGATTCTTTTTTTTCCCTTTATACTTTTATGCCAAGTCTTCTCACCATGGAGAACTCTGACCACACAGCAAGGCTACACAGGGGTAGGGTGGACAAGTTAAGTGAACATGAACTATTATCATCCAGCTTTAAATCATAAAATTATACCATTAGTAATGAATGGTCAAAGGAGATCAAAGGCATTTCCACAGTTTTATTCCTTGTTAGTGGTACAACACAAATAGGATCTAGAGATGGTGATATGAATTCTGCCAAACCTGTAGTTTGTAAATGATCAGTCTAGGAATTTAGCCTGTGAATAACTCAGCTATGCCAATTTATCTTCCTAGGCCTAATTTTTCTTCACTACAAAATAGCCAATACCACTTGGGGACCATACAAAGATATGCACACAGGGATATAGGAGAATGTGGCAAGGGTCAAATATAAGTTTTACTTCATAAAATTTTCAAGTGTTGTATATTGTAATTGAAACAGATGAAAGCTAGGAGAAGATGATCTTGGATAGAAGTGGAACAGAGACTTCAGTGGGAAAAGGCTCTTTCCTTCAATCCCCCTACAAGAAGTAAACAGAAGGGCCAGATAATTTCTACCTGGAGGCAATTTTTTCAATTTCTCTTATCTCAAAATGATGAGTGGACATTACTGGAGCTGAAAGTTGCCAGACAGATGTGTAAGGTTCACTGACTGAACTATTCCTGTATGATATGCCTGTATCTCTGTTTTCCACATTTCAAGTAATAACTGAGAATTTTACAGAATGAAGAGGCAGACAGAAGTCACAACTAGTCATTCTTTAAAAGCTTAATATTGAAGAGGAAGAAAGAAAGGAGGGGGTAGGGAGGGAATGAGAATGAATGAGGTTCAGAATATAGGAGGGAAAAAGAATATTACTAGAAACCAGGGCCTCTATGCATGCTAGGTCGCTGGACAAATGCTCTACCACTGAGCAAAATCTCTAACCCTTTATAGTAATCTAAATAGTTGTGTCTTTGTCCACCCAGGCTGCTATAATACTATAAGCTGGGCAATTTATGAATAACAGAAATTTATTTCTCACAGATCTGGAGGCTGGGGCTTCTAAGATCAAGGCTTGGCAGATTTGGCATCTGGTGAGGACCCATTTTGTGACTCACAGATGACACTTTCTACCTAAGTAATCCAATTATAGAAGGGACAGTCAAGCTCTCCTGGGCCTCTTCTATAAGGGCACTAATCTTATTTATAAGGGCAATGCCCTTATACCCTGAGCACCTTCCCAGAGGATCTACCTCCTAATAGCTAAGGGTTCAAATTTCAACATAGGAATTTTGAGGGGCACTTAAATACTCAAACCATAGCAAGATAGCAATAAGATATTGGCAGGGTGGGCTCTTTTTATGCAGTCTGATGGGCTTGTGGAAGTAGGACCCCCAAAGCAGGCTTTTCAGCTTCAGCACTTGTTTCTGGTAAACAGTGTATGTGGCAAGGAAATGAAGAGCTGGGGGACTGCAGGGATTCAGATGAGATCGGGCGCGTTCAAGGTGTTATGGCTGTAGGCTGCAGGGATTCAGTGCAGCTGAAACAACACAGCCTGCTGTCGGGTGCTCAGTGTGTACAGGGGAACTGTTACACTGCAGAAAGGGGATGTGGCCAAGACAACAGGGATGAAAATTCCCAAGAATAGGATAGGTGGGGGACAGAGATTCCAAATAAACTGATTTAAAGGAAATAAAGCAGTATTTCCTATACACCAAATTCACAGACTCATATTTATACCCAGTACAATGAGTTTGACATTTAGTAGTATTAGAAGTGAGAACTGTGGGGAAAACAGAACTGGGATCAGAAAGCAGAAAAAGCACAGGGACGATTCTATTGAAACAAGGGTTGGTGCTCTCTGGCTACAGGGAAGATGTTTCTTTGTTTTTTAAAATGTTTTGATGTGTGCCTGAGAAAATGTTTCCAGTCAAAAATCTAAACTTGGAGAAGCTCAACACATCCAGTTTAGTCTAAATCAACATGTGGTACACATAAGGAAAAAGAGTTGGTTCTTTTGTCCCATCATTTCACTTTGGGGTCATGATCCTTAAAGGGGACTTGAGTATTGGTTAAGAATTTCCTGAAAGGCACAAACTAGACACCTTTTGCTGTAGCATTTGTTCTTTACTGGTGTGGAAATAGATAATGAGACTAAGTTGGTCATTCTGTTTAATTACCTTATTCTGCTGGTTATAGTCTGAACATTATCTGGGGATTAAATTTATGCTTTTTCTTTCATTTAATGTGAAAAATGGACTGTTATTCATAAAAAACAAAATTCATGAGGAATACGCAGGTTCTTTTGTTAGCAATAGGTAGAAAACTTTATAAACTCCATCCAGCTCAAAAACAAAGCCCAGAATGTTTTTAATGGTGTCAAGTTGAAAAACACTCTATGACCCCAAAGTGTTTTGAATCTCAGATTGAATTATACAGACTTTGTATCTGTGGATAATATGTCTGCGGATCCAACCAACCATGGCTAGGAAATATTCAGGATAAAGTACTAAACGTGTAGAATTTTTGTCATTCTCTAAACAATACAGTACAAAAATTATTTGTATAACATTTACATTGTATTATGCAATTAAGGGAGAATATACATAAGTTATGTCCAAATACCACACTATTTTATAAAAGGGGCTTGAGTATCTGTGGCTTTTGTCATCAGTGAAGAATCCTGAATCCGATGAACCCCCATGGATACTGTGGGATGACTGTATACCCATTATCAATTTTGTAGCTATACTGGACACACATTAAGGACTCATTCTGTCTCAGGCATGGTTTTAAGTGCTACAAATACACTGGTATGCTAGGACCTTGGTCTTAAGGTATATTCTGATGGGAGAGACAATAAACAGATGTGTCTATCCACTTGTGGTGTTATAAAGTGAGTGGGGTTATGGGAATAAAGTGATGGCACAGGCGCAGGGGTGCTTTTTCACATAGGATGGTTAGAAATACAGGGGACTCTTCGTGAGGGCTGGTTGTAACTTGAGGGCCGACTGAAAGTCAAGACTATTTTTCCGATAAGAAATAATGGAAATACCCATAATGCATTCTGAACCTCCTAAAACATACCTCAACTAAACTTTCCATAATAAATGTTGTATAATGTGTGTAATTTATCAGCAACACCAATAATTTTCCTAGCGTATTCACCAAAAAAATTATAAAATATGCCTAGTTTACCAGAAACAATTTCATACTGTACTCACCATTCAAGTTGACATCTTTGGCTTGCCTGAAGGGTGGGTGAAATGGAAGGTGGTTATTGTTTGGAAGGAGCGTCCCCTTCCATAAGAACATTGGACTCTGGCTCTCTGGTGTCCTTTCTATCCTTGGGAGAGTCTGTAGCCCACTAGGACCTGCTCCTGGCTCACTACGTCTTGACCTTTTCAGAACTAAAAGCTGATCTTAGGTTGTCTGTTTGTTTTTTAACAGTTTTGTAATATGACATGACATTGTCATTAAGCAAGTGAATGCAATGATTGGCTTTTTCTGTCTGGCTGGGTCTTCCCTGCAAATATTTGTAGCTCTGTCCATATTTTCAGTATTTCCTTTTACTTCACAAGAACTTTGCTGAACTGATTGATATTTCCTGTCCTCTTGAGAAAGCGCCCCAGCTGCCATTCTCGGTTGCTCAGCCAGGAGTTGCTGAAGTTCCTCCGTAGACACTTCCTCTGAGTTTTCCTCCACCAGTTTCTCAACATCACCACTGCCTACCTGCAAGCCTACTGACACAGCTATGGTGACAATGTCATCAACCACAGGGTCAATTGAAGGCTCAGGCTCCTCTACACAGCCTTCAAAGTCTGTCCTGTATAATTTTAGAATACACTTTCTTCCAGGCAGATCTCAGTGTCCTTAGAAAAATTGGCCCAGGATTTCTCAGTTAACCCCACACAGGAAAGACCAGCATTTGGGTCATTTACTCAAGACTTTGGTCCTAAAACTAAAATTGTGGTCATAACCCAAGTTGTTTGTGAGGCCAGTCATAACTCAAGGGTCCTCTGCAGCCCCCCATCTCCCTGTGCCCTGCCAATTGTTTTCATCCTCCAAATTCTCTTGAAAATCTCAAGATCATTTGGCCCTCAGGATTTTACAAATGATGTTTCCTGCCTGGGAACCCTTCTTCAGCCTACTTCCTTTTCCCTGATTACTTCTTATGGTCCTTCAGGTCTCTGTCCCATAGCACTTCCTCCAGGAAGCCTTGTCTGGCCCTGGACAAGTCACGTTCAGGTTCCTTCTTAATCACAGCACTGAGCTTCTTCATCGTATTGAGCACAGTAATAATGGCATGTGCACTGGATAGTGTAATGTCTTTGTCCTGTACAGACTCTAAGGTCCATTAGAGCAGACTGTTTTGTGTACTGCTGAATCCTTCAAACCTTGTAGTTTGTGTAGTAGGTTCCTGGCACATGATTCTTGAATGTCCGAATGGTAACTGAATATTCTGGTGTAGCAAATTAAGCATGGAAGGACCCTGTATGCCTATACAGAAAACACTGCTTCATCTTATAGGCCATATATATAATTTTGGGAAACTTTTTACATAGCAAGATCAGTCAACATTTGGTTTCATGTGGTTACAAATATGAATAGTAACTTATGACGTTACCTCATTTCAACAATTTTAACTAATGTTGGAAATGTGTGCTGATTAAATTACAATTTAAAACCAAGAATTTTTTATTTGTAAAAGACCAAGTCATAAATAGGCAGAATCAACCCATGCTTTTATTTTCATTGCATATCAAAATTTCATATGAAGGTATTGATTGATGTACAGTACTATCCCCATGGGCTGTAAGAGAGGCTAAGAAACCACTAAAAGAATCATTTGTAATGCTCACACACAATTTACCACTCTGAAACATATCCAAAGAAAATTTAAAAACAACTAAAATCAGTAAGGATGTATTTTGTAGTTATAGTGTCCCGTTTGTACTATTTAAAACAAAAGTAATCAAATTCCTTTGGGCCAGGGCTGCTAAAATCTACAGTTTGTGTCAAAAAATAAAATCAAATAAAATAGGAGGCTCATTTTTCCTAGAAAAAGAATCTCTCCTTTCACCAGTAAGCCACACATTTAAGGGCTGGGCAGCAGCAGCAGGGGGTTTGTACGCTATTCACTAGGAATTATTCACAACTTTCAGGAGCCACCGTGCAAAGTTAAATTCTAAATAGGAATTTTTCATAAACTTTAGAGAATAATGGATCCTTTATGCTATGTGAACTGACATTGTACACAACTTGGTGTTTAAAAGAAATTTGGTTAATTTTAGTTGAAAATTCTATGGTTAAAAAAATGGCCTTTTCTATATTGGGTATTTCTTTAACCCGACAGGAAGCTGATGAACAGATGACTAATCAAGTGACCTATAGCTCCTTTTTCAAACCAAGTTTATTTTCATATGAGAGCCAAAAAAAAAAAAAAAAGACTTTTCTAGAATCACTGGATAAGAATATATTTCCCAAGTAGTGTCTGAAATTAAAAACAATCAGATGTTAACTGAAGTAGCTCCTGATCAACAGCTGGCCGATAAATCATCACACATGTGGTGCTGTTCCATGGCAAGAATTTTTATCTCAGAAGGGTTGCAGAATCTTCCAGAGGTTGTCTGTGATTTTGTCAAATCCAGCTATTGTCAGAAATTTAATTAATTGAAAGCTTAGATATATACTGCCCAGCCCTAGCTCTACCTTTATTTTGAAATGCAGCAAAACAGAAGAAAATATTGGTTAAAGTTAAGGCACAGCCCTGGGACCAAAGACCTGCAGCTATGTTACTTAAATTTATATATCTTTATGTATTTTATAGTTTTCTTGACTCTTCCATAAACAAGCTCTAAGGTGACAAGACTATATTACAGGAGAAAAGAAAAATGTACAAGGAGTATGTATACACACCATTCATTCTCTCACCAAGAGTTTCCAAATATATCAACACCATCCCATATGAGATGATGTTTTAATAAGAACTGATAATTTACAATTAACATTACAGTATGTACATTGCAATAAATACATGGTTGTAAACAGACAAATAAGACTGTATTACAGGTAAGGTCATTTGGTGAGAAAAAATGCATGGCACAAAAAATAAATAATGCATTCAAAAATTATCATAAAGCTTTCTGTAAAATCCATTTCATTCAAGTTTTTTTCTTTTCTTGTTTGCAATTTGTTCTATCTACATTATTGTGAATTTTAACTGATGCAAAAGAAAACAAAACTAAAACAGCATTATTGTGTTCAGTAACTTGCAAGCTGAAATGTACTGGTTTTATACAAACTTGGACTTTTTTCCCCATGCACTACACCCAGATACTGCATTTTCTTATGGCATTTTAGGAAATGTAAAGCCACTTGTGTAAGGATATTCTTTTTAAAGCAGTATTTCTGAAGCACATTTTGGTGAGAGAGAACATGGGGGAGAGGGTAAAGATTGTATAGTGCATTACTCCCTAACTCTTGGATATTATGTCTTTCCTACAATTTGATTGTCCATCAGCGAGTATCTTTACAACATGGTACCATTAAAAACCAACAAACTAGAAAAGTCTCTTTAAGTGCAGTTACAAACCCTTTCATGTCAAGATCTGTTTATGACATATTGCTGCTTTTTAAATTTTTTATTATGAAAATTCCAGGCACTCTGTGGGGGAAATACCATGTGTAGGGATGGGAAGGAGAGAATGATTTGGAAAGAGGAATAAACCCTCAACTCTGCTTTTTCCTTCCAGGCTTCCCTCAGGAACAAATATAATTAAAAGAACTACAAGTTCCCAAATGTTCTTGGGAAATCACTTGGTCAAATATAGGTTTCTTGTAGTTTACTCTGTTGTTTTTTTCATAAGGGAAAGTGAGCGGAAACCCAGTAACTGGTTAATTCCTATTCTGCCCTATGTAAAAAATCATATTTTTCTACCAAGGGTGTTAAACATCAGTTGGATCTTAGGAAATTAAAACGGGACTATCTTCAGCTTGGGTCATTTCTCTGGTTGATGACTTAATTACTTGATCCCAGAAGACTCTTTCATAAGTTCCAAATACAAATTTGTTCAGGGTTGCAATTTTTCTTAAACGGCTTATTTACCTTCAATGCAGCTGGGTAACCCTTCTGTTCCTAACTCAATTCTTAACTATCAATGCAAAAAATGATTATGTGGGCTCCAAATTCTTCAGAGAAGTTAACAACTGATTTGGAAAGAAAGTCCACATGAAATAGCCCATGATACCAAGTGCTGTCAGCAGATAAACACTGGTATTATCTCTAAAGTTTCAATATAGTTCTTGGTGCTAAAATTGGCTGTTTTTTTTTAATGATCTCTAACTTGTCATGTAGGCAGGGTATTTTTACTAATCCAGTATTTCAGACATTACCAAGCTATTAGTCTAATGGTTGTATCAACTGCTCACTCTGTGTGTTTAAAGAAATAGTTCCCTCCTCCAAGACATGCTCTGGGTCAGTAAGTGATACAGTGATTCTTATAAGTTGCACAGCTATCTATTAAGAAAGAGTAGCTGCTATACTTAAAAGCACTTGTTGGGGATATTTTTCATATAGTTCCGAAACCATGGTGAAACTATAGGAAAAAAATAGAATTGTTCTTGTATTTGTTAATATACTGTTAATACTCTTAAACATTGCCTGGTTAGCTGCTAACTTTTGTCTGTAACCCTAGAATAAAAGCTAGTCATGACAACCTCAGGGTAGAATTAACTGCTAACCCTAATTTTACTTCCTCCTTCTTTTCATCAATTAGGATGGTGGTGATATATTTGATAAGACTCACTTAGCAAACATGGACAGAGATTCAAATACACATTAAAGCTGCAGAAGAGGTAAAACCTTCTATTCTAACTGGCTATAAAAAACAAAAATGAACATGAAATGTGTGGATTACTACAAGGACGTGCACTTGTGAAATGCAATCGACACAGCAAAAAGTCATCAGAAGACACTACATAGGAAAATATCTAAAAAAAACACTGACCATTTTAGCTACTGGGTATTTATATAATCTCCCATTTGCTTCAGACAACACCAGCTGATGTTTCTATGAGGCTTAAGACACAATGGACATAACGCACGTCAAAGTATTACAGAACAAATATTCACTTTGCACAACATGAAGAAAAACTTCAACGGAGAGCAACTCTGCTTATTGGGAAAGATTGAAATAAAAAGTCAAAATAAATGAAGACTTACAAAAAGGGTTTCCAGCAACATAAAGCTGTTTTTCTGTTTTAAAATATGGAAGTCATTGGTATATAAAACAATGACCACTACAAATCTGTTAATTGCTATGAAATATACGGTGCAAGTAAAATTCGTAAATTAGATTTATCCAGTGTAGCACATATTTGTACTGAAAACTTGCAAGTTACTCCTTAGAAAAAAATAACCAGTGGCAGATGAAATTCTGAACATAGTTTTTTTTAAATATAATACCTCAATACATTTAATAAAAGTAAGCTCTACAAAAAATCTTTTACATATCATACAAAATGTAGAGGTGAGTGCAGCTCACTGAACCACACTATTTAGTCATGTATCAGGAAGACTTGAAATTGGAAAATTATGCAATTTCTGTGGCTCTTCTTCCTTCTGGAAACAGATTGACGCTGTACTCTTCCTGACATGTTTGCTGCTTTATCCACTAAGTTCTCTCTTTCCGTGTAATGCCTTCTTTCTCCAGAAAATATTGCAAGCAGGAAACTGAAATCCAATCCACTTTTGGGCTTCCTGATGAGCCACGCTCCCTTGAAAACATCATGGAGTTGATTTTATCTGCTTTGTCAGCTCTAACAAGCTGAAATGTTCAAATGCTGTTTGTGAAGATGTTTCCCCTTGCTCTGATGACATGGAGGTGAAGAAACTGGATACAATATTCCTGAGCGCCAGACTGAGTAGTCAAGGTCAGTTTTGTTCAACAAACGTCCTGGCAGATGATAATGAGGTGTGACCATGGTTGTGGCATGTGACATGCACTTTGGAAACAATCTTTCTACTAAAAAAAAAAGGTGTGACAGTCTGCACTGTTACGTGTCAGGAGAACAATCATCGATGACACAAACTTCAGGCTGGCTTTCCTCCTCTTCCCCTACTGCCTCCTCTTCCACCTGTTCGTCAAGGGGAATTTCAGTAGACTCCGAGTCTTGAGTGCACAGAGTCTTGGAGTCACTGCAGCTAGTGTCTTCTTCCACTTGACTTCCACTGTCCTTTTCGGTGTCTGACTCTCCATCTTCCTCTAAAGTTAGTTCAAACTGGAATTTCTCACTCTGACCCTGTTGGCCCTCCTCTTGGTCATCAGGCGCAGGAGAGGGGCTCTGAGGGATTGTGCTTTGGTACCATTCACGATTGTCCTCCAAAGTGTCCAAAATGTCTTGGGCATCAGGATGTACAAGGTCTGCCCATGTCTCCCAGAGAGGATGAACAATATAGTCTATGAAGCCCACCTAGTTGAAAAAGAAATCCAGTATAACTAGTGCAACAGGACTGACACAATGGGAAAGGTTAATTAGATCACAGCCAACAAATAAAATACTGAACCGAGAACTAACCTTAGTTGGGTAAAATAATCACTACTTGAGGCAACAGCTGGGGAAAGTTAGCTTCTAGAACCCTGATTTCAAGAGTATATTTAATGTAAAACATTCTTCTGTCATTTACATGTTAGGGTGTAGATCTGGACCTTATTCTAGCATATTTGGTTCTCAGGTGAATCCAGATAACTGAAGTAAGGTAAATGCTCTATACCATATGAATATAGTCATGAGGAATGAATATAATGCCACAGGAATGCATGAATTTAAGTCATAAGACTGAAAGATTTTGGATTCTAAACACTAAGGTGAAACTGAGCTTGTCAAAACGAAGTAATTTTACTAATAGAATACTGTGAGATGTGAGTACTGTAAATGCTACAGCTGTAGCTTTGTTCTCTTCAAAAGCTGTATGAGCTAAATCATGTATTACCTGCGATTTTTCCACAGATGCATTGTGCTTGTCACACATGGGACTTATCTCCATGCCACGCTCCCTCTCTCGGTCTCCCTGGCGGAAGAACTCTTCCATTATCCGGTCTGTCCACTGGCGGTACAGCTGAAGAGGCTTTGTTGGGTTGCTCAGATCTGCACAATGCACCATATTCTGGAGAACCTGAAATGGAGGCGTTCTCTATTCAGCACTTGCTCTTTTTTTTAAGCTAGAAATTCACATTGGATGTCTGTGACACTTAAAAATACATGTAGTGTAAGATTTATTCCAAATAGCTCAACCATGATGTGTCTCTGTGTGGTTCACACTTATATTAATAGCTCCAAATTATGCCACTTCTACCGCATCTAAGTATCATAAGAGAAACTGTTTATGTACATGGTTGATTAAATTCAGAGCTACTTAAATGGCTGGTTTTCTGGGGTGTTAAGTTTTTTTTAATGCATATGCAAATGAAAAGACCAGTAACATTTTACCTTGTTAATTCACAGGAGTGAGAATGTGGGTAAAAATCCTGTCTATCACTAGTTACTAAAAGTAAAACATGGGAGAAAGGAAAGATACCTCTTATTAAAGCTGAACACATAGACATGCAGGACAAGAATACAATAATGATTTACCTGGATCCTATCAGAGTAATTATCAAGGAGGAGAACCCCAGAACTCGTTACTTTCTTCGTTTCAACCATAGTTTTCAGATCAGCTAGCAGATTCATGTGTTTCGACATATCTGTTGCAAGTACCTAAAAGGCAAAGAATATTTTAAAGTCTAGAGGAAAAAGTCAGAATTTTCACATGGAAATTTTTTTTTGCAGAATGTAAAGATCGGAAGAAACTGACTTCCAATGACAGTGTGTGGAAGTCTCTTCCCACCAAGTTTTCACATGCTCAACACACAGGAACATCAGGCACTGACCACCACTTTCATGGTGAGAAATGGGCCAATATCTGTGTGGCTAAATTGGGGTTTAATTTATTCTTTGGGCTACAAAGTGGCTAATGGACTAGGATGAACTTATTAATTTTTAACTTGTCTGGGGGTAGATAATTCCTGCCTATATTATGTACAAAGCTAAAGAGAATAATTTTTAAACAACCAGACATCTGTCTCAGAATCATGCGGAATAATATGCACTGAGAAAAGAATAAAGTCATGAATATTTCTAAGTGGACGGAAAAGCTCATTTGAGCTGCAGTCCATGTCCTGTGCTTTCTGCACATCATTCTCTACCTCCCATCAGTCAAGAATTCAGAAAGTAAAACTTGAATAATGACAGTAAACTATCATACTTAAACCCAAACTGCTAGAAGTAGAAAATCTGGAATTAGAAATGCCTAATTTACCAAGTGCAGTGGCAGCTTCCAGAACTGAAAGGCCAATCAATAATAGGTTTGGAAATGCAGTTCCTTTTTATTGAGACAGAGTCTTGCTATGTAGTCTAGGCTAGCCTTGAACTCACTGTGTAGCCCAACCTGGCCTTAAACTCAAGGAAATTCTCCTGCCTCAGCCTCCCAAGTGCTGGGATTACAGGCGTGCACCACCATGCCCGACTCTTAACATTTTCTTAAAGCAACTTACACCACAGTGATTTTTTTCTCTTTTGGCTTTCATTAGTTACTTACAATGTCAATGACCATTTTCCTCAAAGACTGTCTTTGCTTTTTGGTCAAATTCTGGAAAATATCACAGTTTTCCTCTTGAAGCAATTTAAAGCCCACAGCTAAATGATGGTTCTCTAAGACAGAGGAATCATTGTACATCAAGGCAAGTTCAGAGTCTGAAAGAAAAAGGCATAGATCACTAGATCTGCTCAATTAGAAGTACATTTTGTTTTTTAAATTGTATGATAGTTTGGGTTCAGGATGCAATTTCCCTTAACCTTCTCTAATGCCTTTTACCATTATAAAACAATATCCAGGACAGAATGTAATGGATAATGTAAAAGCAGAAAGAACACTGGAATCTTAGGAGTGAATTCCAATGCTACTGACAGAAGGCAGGTCATGTCATTCTGTGGGCCTCAGCTTCCTCTATCTGAAGTAAAAGACCACGGCATTATTAACATCTGCAACATGTGCAGAAGATAAAGTCTTCTGCCTTGGTAACTATGGATTACCTACCCTGTAATTTATGTCACATGAGGATCATGGGACACAGAATTGTCTATACTCAGTGAGTGCAAGAGTATGAAACACATGAACAATATTTGGTTTATGCTGCTTTTATTTTCTTCCACTAGCTAGTACTGAAAGTCTAAGTTTTATTCATTTATTTCCATTTCCTCACCCAAGTATCCTTGCAGTTCATCATATATATGTAAATTACACTTCCCACCTGCTTACCCATGGCTTTGCACAGAGATGCTGCACCAGGTGTCTACATGCCCGCAGGTACAGATTGTACCATTTTCTCATACTGCCCTGGACCTGTATGAGTCAGGCAGAAAGATCCTGCTTTATCCCTAGTCCTATCCATAGCAGACCCAGATTTAGAAGGTAGTCATTAAAAAAATTGACTCATGCTTTCCTATTTCTACATAAGTCATTGGAAAGACTAAAAGCATGCACAATCAGTCTTTTGACTAATTCGCAGAACATATATTTAAAAGCTGTACCCAATATTCTGCTTTAAAGGAGCTCGGGAGGACAGGAGAGGCTCAGGACCTATCTCTACTGGGAGATTCTATGACTTCATTAGAACTATACAAATAAAAACTGGCACATCTAAATTTTTGCTCCCAACCTATAGGAACAGGGATGCCTAGAGTAGTAGGTATTGCATCTAGATAAAGCAACAATGTTCATTTTTCAAAAGACAGTATCTGGTTAAGTCTATAAAATATAAAGGCTCCTAAGGATGGTTAAAACATGTTAAAACTAAAAAATTTTAAACTTATAAGATCCTACTACATGTATTGTGTGTTCATAGTAGAATCATATTAAATAAATCTCTAATAAAAGGAAGGCATGTTTTCTAATTGGAGACATAACGCTGAATTCATCTATTAGTGTCTTTTTTTTTTTTTTTTGTACCGGGGATCGAACTCAGGACCTTCTGCTTTCAAGGCAGGTGGCGGAACCACTGAGCTAAATCCCTGGCCCTCTATTAGTGTCTTTTAAAGGAGTAAATATACATCTAGATAATGTATGTTAACAGAAGAACTGACGTGGCCTTAGAAGTTCTAACTGGTTTATATGCCCCATAAAGAAAGATATCAGAAATAAGCTATTGAGCCTGCAGAAGAGCAAGATGAGAGCTGCTCCTTCAAGGAGGTGGATGGCCTGCAGTGGGGAAGTTGTATCAGGGAGTTCTACAAAATGTTAAGATGTCCAAGAGTGCTTGCTAAGCCTGCTTGGAAAATGGTTATCTCCTCTTTAGGAAGAGTCCACATTGACTAGAAAGATTACAAAGTGATTCCTCATTAGACTGGTGGTTTCTACAACCCCTTCAGTCTCTCTGTCACAAGAATGTGGGGATGCCTGTTGCTTTTTAAGTGAACAAATGTTAGCACTTAAGAACTTGAACCTCAGGGTAGTCATTTAATTTTCTACTTGTCATTAAGACTGAAGGTAGCTGGGTGACATGCCTAATCCCAGCACTTGGGAGGCTGAGGCAGGAGGTCTACCATGAGTTTGAGGCCAGCCTGGGCTATACAGTAAGCTCAGGGATAGCCTGAACTACAGAGAAAGACCCCGTCTCAAAAAAAAAAGCCTGAAGAGGGCCGGGGATTTAGCTCAGTGGTTTCACTGCCTGCTGCGCAAGCACAAGGACCCAAGTTCGATCCCCCGTACCAAAAACAAAAAAAAGCCTGAAGGTATGTGGTCACACCTAAAAGAGAGGATCACATTCTATAGCGTCTCAGTCAACATCCAGAAACAATGCTAATCCAAGACTTAGAGCAGAGTTCTTGAAGGTTCATGAATAATAGAAAGTTGCTTTCACATTTTGGTACAATGTTCAGCAAAGAGGGGCAGAGAAGCTCACTTACATATCATTTGTGTTGAAACCTTTTCATCTTTAAGTAAATATATCATCTCTTCCATGAAGCCTTTTCCTACCACAGAATAACTGCTCTCTTGGTCCTATAAATTAAGTTCTTATACAGGATTTATCACCATTTACCTTATCTGTCCTATCTCTGTACAATTCTCTCAATAGTTCTTCCAAAACCTCCCTAAATTATTTAGAGACTTAGGCCCTGTGATGGTTAACCTTGACTGGATTGAAAAACCACAAAGAAATTAGTACAGCATGATTTGGGGTGTGTCTGTGAAAGTGTTTCCAGAGACAACTGGCAGATGGACAGTAAACTATGGGGTGGGAGGACCTCCCCTGAATGTGGACAGCAACATCCAATAGGCTGCTAATTGAGATGGAATAAACCTTAAAAGTGGCTTTCTCTCCTTCGGCTTCCTAGCTGCCAGGAGATGAGCAGCTTTCCTCAGGCATGCACTTCTGCCATGATGTTTCTGCCTCTAAAAATGGCCTAGAAGCAATGGAGAAAGCTGACTATGGATGGACTGGAACCTCTGAAACTGTAAAGTAAATAAATGTTTTCTCCTCTAACTGTTGTTTTCAGGTATTCTGTCACAGTAATGAAAAGCTGACACATCCCCTGTATAAAAATTAAAGGTTAGTAATTTAATATGCATTGTCTGGTTTGTCCTATGTTCTTCAGTTTTCCTAATTTACCAAGTGCAAATGGGAAAAGAATATCCTAAGGCACAACGTTTAGAAGATTTAAGTATCAGATATTGTATTGTGTGGTTTGTGTGGAATATCTCATTAATGCTCACCACATCTCACTTAGGAAAATTCTGCTGTGATAGCCATTTACAAATAAAGAAAATGAGCCCTAGGGAAAATAAGTAACTTTGCCAATGTCACCTACCTGGTAAGAACTAGGGCTAGTACTTAAAACCAGACAGTGTCTAGAGCCTCCTATCCCTTATGCCATTATTATAGATCCTTCAAAACAAAGATGACAACCTTGAGCAGTGAACAGTGAAAGTGAACCAACACAGGATAAACACAATCCATTCAATGCCTGGCACACATTAAGAACTTAATAATCATTCTATCACTGAAGGTCTGTGCACACCTTTATAAATTCAAGTTCATCATTTTATTAGATACAGACCAATCTGCTTAAGTGTAAGAACTACCCTGGATCCAGAATAAATTAAATTATGCTCAATATAATGCTACCAATGCAGGCAGGAAGACCAACTTTATCCATGCACCCTTTTCTTGTCAGTTATTACTGGATGAGAGGTGGAGGGTTGGCAGGTACCACTACATAACTGAGAACATGTGTTTCATTCCCATTTTCACTCTTGATTCCTGGACCCACGAAACCTAGCTATGGGAGAAACAGCACCAGGCACTGAACACTGAGTGCACATATGATCTTCTGGAGAACTCTGCCTCAGCCCAGCAAGGCACTAACACCTACTTGTGTTGTAACAAAGGCTTCAAAAGGCCATTCTACCATTCTTTCAGGCCAGCTGCTTTAGAATTGTGGGGAGAAGGTAAGACTGCTGAGTTCTATGAACATGGGTCTATGCCTGTACTTCTTTGGCTATGATGTAAATTTTCAGGCTGGAAGCAATGCTGTATGGGATACTGTGGCAGCACATGAGGTATCCTGTAAGTCCAGGGATGGTAGTTTTGGCAGAAACATTGTCTGCATGGAATGCAAATCTGTTTCCAGAGAAAGTAACTATATTACTAAGGACAAAATGTTGCCCCTTTCCATTGTGGAAGTGGTCCCAATGTAATAAACTTGTCACCAGGTTGATCATCCCAAGTAATGGCAGTGGGGGCTCAGTGTTGGTCTCTGCTGCTGGCAGACTGGGCATTCATCAGTGGCCACAGCCAGGTAAGCATTGTACAGAAGTCTGCATTGCTAAGCCTATATGTAATCTCTGTCTCTGCCACCATGGGCACTTTGTTGATGAGCCCACTAGGCAGTGACAGCTAGGGAAAGAGGCTATCTGATATCTACAGAAGAGGTCATCCATCCCAGTCACATGATTGCCAAAGTTCTCCTCTGCTGAGGTCAGCCCTTGGTGAGCATTCATGATACACAAGTATCTTCACCTTTTGTACCCATTCAGAGACATCCATCCACATAACTCTTTCTAATAATGCTTTTTTTTTTCAAGTCACTGACAATCCAGCCAAACCACTGGCTACAATCTATGGATCACATAATCATACATCTGTACCTGCTTTATTTTAAGCAAACTGTATGTACTCTGCCCAAAGTTTTTCCCTCTGGGAAGGTTTCCCTTTATCACTGGCCTTTTAGGGATGTCCCAGAAAGGTGTAAGAGCACTGCGGTTGTCCACATCTGGGTGGTGACTGTATATTGTGCAGAATCATCTATAAACCAGGCCCTTTACTACTGATTATAAGGAACTATCTATAAGACCACAGGTGCAGGTAGAAGCAAGACAGCAGTAAAATAGGAGTGGGGACCATAAGCATTTAGGCCACTTCCTGTAAGTTACTTGTGCCTTCAGTGTCTGCTTGGGCACTATTCCATACACATCACTTCCATTTGATGATAGAGTGTTGCCATGAATGCTCACCCTGGTGGCTTGCAGTAACAGTTCATAATGGGCAGCACAGGTCCTATCGGTGGACCATGATCAAACATTCAGTGTCATCTATTAAGACCTATTAACAGATCAAGCACTATCTCTCAAAAGGCAAGTAGTTATCTTTGGATGATGGTAGGCACTGCTCCAAAATCCCAAAGGTGTGTGCCATGATTCACTTATAAAGCCCTACCACAGGCTCCGAAACTGCATCCCTATCTGCTACTGACACTGAGAAAGACTGGATCTGCTAAATCATACAGCTCAGGTGGCATAGCAGCCAAACAGCAACCTGGCTCTGTTCCACAGCGTTCCTTTATTCTGGGATCCATTCAAAATTAACACCTTTTCAAGGTACTTGGTGAATGGGCCAGAACACACCTGAATGAGGATGCTTCTGTCCCCAAAATCCAGCCCCACTAGTAATTGTGCCTCTTTCTTGGTTGTAGAAGTGAACAGTGCAACCACTTAGGCCTTCATTTTAGAAGAAATGTATCAGTAGGCCCCACACCACTGGAATCTTAGAATTTCACTCAGGTAGAAAGAAAGTCTGAATTTTAGTTAGATTTCCTTTCTACTCTATTCCTTCACTTTAACAATAGATACTCTAGGAAGCTGGGAGTTCATTTTGCATTTTAATTCAGCCAATCCCAGGATGAAGTTCTGCCTTTGATTTTCAGGGATTTTAGCCCTGCTGAGAAGACTCTTTCTGAGCACACCTAGAAGCACTTAGGCCACTTATGCTGTGCTTCATCTGGAAATTCCAATTCCTGAGCTCATTCTTTTATTTCCTCCTTGGTCCAGTGGCCAATCAATGCCATTAGATTCCTAAGTTTTCTAAAAATCACTGAAGGTTTCATATTATGTCATTCACAAACATACATAGAAAAAAACTGTTTTACAAAAAGAAATGACCTTCACTTACTTGTGTTGATCAGAAATTGATTTGACACACCAGGATGATCTACGTCATGTATTGCACTGGCAAAAATTGCTGCAAGAATCTCCAAATCTGTAAACACAGCCTGGAAAAAAATATTATATATGATTGTTCTATAGTGATATGAATGGAAAATATAAACAATTGAGAAATAACTTTTAGAACTCAGATAATAAAGCTTCATAATATATCATGATGTATTAGAAAGTCTTAGAGAATTACCAATTTTAAGTATAATTTTGTAAGAAAATATTTTATCTGTATGATCAAAAACTTTTTCATTCTTTTAAAATAATATAAAAATTCTCTGAAATTATTTTTAAAGAAAATATTTTATAAGCAATAAAATTAATTAGGACAAGGGTATTTTCTTTCATCCAAGCTCAATTCTCAGCCTCAGCACTGCTGACATTTTTGTGCCAGATAACACTTCGTAGCAGGGTGTCCTATATATTATGGCCTCTACCCGCAAACGTGGTAGTAGCATGTACAACCAAAAACATGATAGTTGTGACAGCCAAAAATGTCTCCAGACATTGCCAAATATCCCTGTTCACTGGTGGGAGGAAAAAAAGGGGGAAGGAGATAAATCAAGTCCAATGGAGAACCACTCACCCAAGTGAGTTTTTAACACAATTTTACAAAGAAAACAAATCCAAAGTATATAGAAAAGAAAATCTATTCCCCTAAATGATTACGGAAATCAAATTCCTTAAGTAAACACTTAATGGAACAACTTAGGATTTGGAAAAATTAAAGTATTTCCTTCTAAGAAATTTTATGGGAAATATCAATGTCTTGTTTATATTTAATATAGTCAGGTTAATAATCAGATTCTTTGAATTAAAAATACAAGAGCCATCAGACTCTATTTCAAGAAAAAAAAAACTGACCAAGTCTAAAAGCTAGACGTGCTTTATGAAATGTCCACGGGTCATTTCAAAGAAGCAGTATTATAAACAAGTGAATCCCTAAATCTCTGATCAACTTTCACAGACAAAATTCATCACTCAACTGTTTATTAATCACATTTTTTCCTCTACAAATCAACATACTTCCCATGAAGCCAATTACTGTTTGCACTGCAGACCCTTCAGTTTGTAAAAGTTTAAGAGCCCTTTATGAGTGGCAAGTTAGTGTTCTTAAAATTTTAGAAAAGAGATTCACCTCCAAAGCAGGTGTGGATAATAGTACATGAGTAGACTGAACAACGTCGGCAGCATGGATGTTGTTATGATAGGCCACATCAGCATGGTAATGGTCTTCCAGAGTCATAAGATATGTAATTAAAGTGTCTACTGGAATTTTAAAAGTTTTTAATAAATCCCGCTCCTGTTGGAAAAGAAATCCTGTTAACATGTTTGTCTTTATAAAATAAACAAACAAAAAGAGGTTCTATGGAGTATGTGAGGAAAAAAAAAATCACACATTAGTGTGCCCTATGGATAACCCAGAAACAGAAATAGCACTTTCGCATGTCTCCTGAGGGAAACTGAAACATCTGGAAAGCTCCAGTTCCAGAAAATGGGATAAAACCATAGCTGAACTGTCCTAAGGTTGCTTTATCAAAGTTGGAGGAGTCAGGAATGAACTGTGGACTGTAAGGGTTCCTGTGTCCCTGCTCAAGCACCCAGGACCCAGCCCCTGGGTAACACCAGTTGAACCTTAACATTTGCTCTAGGGGGATAGCTTCCTACTCCACCTCAAGGCGTAAGCCGCAGCCTCAAATTCTCATTTAAATTCTCCTTGAGCTGGGGCACAGGGTCCAAAGAATGACAAATGGATATATGGACAACACAGCAAAACGCAAAAAAACAGACTGAAGAAATAGTTTGAGATTATCTTTTCCATTATCTATGCAAGTTGGGGTCATGGAGATGATTTCTTTTTTTTTTGGTACCAGGGATCAAACTTGGGTCCTTGAGCTTGTGCAACAGGCAGCGAAACCACTGAGCTAAATCCCCAGCCCCTGGAGATGATTTTTAAACTACTGTTTTAACAGACTGCTTTGATATATATCACAACTTTGGACAAAAAATAGCAAAATTGAGTTACTTGTGTTTTACCCACATTTCACCTTTCTGTATCTCTGTCCCTTGTTAAAGGAACAAGTAAGAATTTTAAAAGTAGAAAAATAAGCAAAAGAAGGCAAGTAATAAGGAAGACAAAATGCATGCAAAATCCACATTCTAGAAAGCAAGTCCTTGAATAAAAGAAACATGGTAGAAGTCAATTATGTTACCTGAAAAATGGTGTGCATGATAACAGTCAGAGGCCGGTTACCAGACAATTCAGCTATTCTGAAAACATGAAGACCCCATTTGTTTACATCTTCTAGTTCCTGGGGTTGAAAAAAGATACCAAAATATGAGTCAGTGGAAGAACGTGAGGCAGTGAACACAGCATTTAAAATTACTGACTTTAATGCAAAGATGGTTAGATTATTTCAAACAATGATTCATTTTAAATGTAATGCATGCACCACTAAGTAAAACTCACTTAAATGTAATAACAATTGAACAATATTACTTTATGATTTGGACAATACATCAGATTCACATATTTTGAATATCAAATCTCAAAGCACTTCTTCAGTGGATAAAATTTATACAAAGAAACTGTTGTTCTACTAAAACTCAGAAGAGATGGTAGACTTCTCTTTTTAAGGGAAAAAAACAATGAAGTTGCAAAAAAGTATATACAAAGCCACCTTCTAAATTCACATATTAATAAAACACAAATAATTTATATTTAAATTTAATGCATGTATAATTAAATTATTATAATTAAATGCATTTTATAAAGTGCATTCCTATCTTCAAAAAAAGAAAATAAAGCCACATACAGTAATGAATTTTCCACCCATGTAAAAGAGAAGGAATCAAAATTCATGCAAAGGCATCATTTCATACTTAGAATAAATGCTCTTTGAAATCATCTTACCTTGGCCAGGACATCTTCTTGTTCTGTTTTTACTCCAAACCTTGGGATACTTGAATTAGTCAGACTAGAGCTATGCATCAACTTCTTCACTCCACTGATCTGAGACATTGGTCTTTTCTTTTTCTCCTTTTCCTTCTGAGTTGGAGAAGGAATTTCCACTTCATGTTGCTTATCTTAAAAATTTAGAAAATTTTCTACATTATTAATTCTACTTGTTTTTATAATCATAATATGCATAATCAAACAGATTTTAATTGATCACTATGCATTCTAGGAAATGTTTCAAAGTAATACTTTTCCTTGTATTTACAATTTGATGTAGACTTATTTTGAGATCCTCAAAACACCAAATTAAGCAAAAAGCAAACAAACAAAACATACCACTAACTCGATATAAAATGTGTCCAGCAGTTAACTTTTGATAGAATGTCCTAATAAAATATTTGCAAGACTTATGAAAACAGGTTTGCAGAAATCAGAACACTTGGTTATTTCCACTGTTCACCAACTCCTCCTGTTTGAAATCCACTCAGTGGCTTGAAAATTGCTCTTGCCACAACTAAGGACTTCAGTTTCAACACATACTTTAAAATGGTAGAAACTTCATACACAAATTAATAAAAACAGAGATGTGTGAACCTAACAGCTAACATAAAATATGTCATACTGTAGGAAATGAAACAGCATTTCTGAATGAGTTGCTTTTTGTTTCTATACTACAGTGTGATGAAGACTATGATGTAACTAGGTTTTATGGGGACCACAGAGAATCCCAAATATCATTCAAGAATTGAGTTTCCACACACACTACTTGCTGTTTTCTATTGTAAAAGAAATTCCAGGAATATTCATCCACCATTGAGGGCAGTGAGCAACCCTAATTCATCTGTGCAGATAGTACATGTTCAATAAATATCTAATAATATGCTAATTAATTGTTAGAAAAAGTTTGGTTTGAAAATAAATCCAAACAAACAAGATAAAATTATTGACTTATATGTATTGTATTTTATTTTTGCAAATGAGGCAGAGGGATTGTGCTAGAATACTATATTCTCAATTATTGCCAGCAAACTTTTCTCTAGTAGTTGTGCTGTTTTTGCACACCACGTAGTTAAGTTTGGTATCCATTAGACTTTCAAGGCATCAAGGGCAGAGACCATTTCTAATTTATCATTAAATTTATAGCACCCAACAATCTGTTGAATGTATGCCTATATAAAAATAAATTTTACAGTTCATTACTATGAAAAAAACCACCTGGAGATATAGCTCAGAGGTAAAGCACCTGCTTAGCATGCATGAGACTATGGGTGTAATAGCCAGCATCACTAAGTGAATATATAATGATAATTTACTGTCATCTCATATTGTAAGTTTTAGAGGTATACTGTCTTAAATTATTAATATGAAGAATAAAAACAAATGGAATTTAAAAACTCTATTTGGTTTCCAAAATGAGCTGGTATTTCAATCTGTCTCCAAAAACCAAACAATCAATTTCAAAGAAAATTCAAAATTTAATGTTGTTATTCTCACCTAAGAATGTATTTGATATATACTCTGACACTTGATTTCCAGATCGACTCATTTCAGAGAGATGGGTGAGCTCCCGATTAAGCATCCTTTTAAACTGAAAAACAAAAAGGCAAAATGAAATAACAGAAGAGGAAATTTTAAGTGAAATAACATGAGCATACTTTGAGGCACAGGAAGATACACTGAGAATTTGGAGCAGTAGTACCCCATAGAACTTTCTGCAGTGTGGAAAAACAGTGTGTTGTCTGTGACAGTAGTCACTAGGCAGATATACAAATTAAGCACTTAAAATGTGGCTAGTGAAAGTGAGAAAATGAATTTTGACTTTCATTTAATTTTAATTGTCTTCAATTCAAATGGTCACAAGGGGCTCTCTGGCTATTGTACTGAACAGCAGATTTTGACACTCAATGAGATTAATTGTAAAAAAGAATTTAAAAATTAAGAGATATTATTAGCATTTACAGAAAAAAATTACAACTTATAAACACAAAAGTATTGCTACACAACTCAACATGGTACACTGTTATCAATTTATCATTAGAAAAACTTAATATATAGTATTGGCCAAAGGTTAAAATCTAGTCTTTTATCCAGGGAAAAGTGCAATAGTCATCTGAATACTCTTTTAGGACTATGAAGAAATAAACTATATGAGTAAATACTATATAATATTTCCTTTTAAAAGTTCTTTTTCAATTAGGAAGTGTAAGGTTATTGGTTCTCAGAATCCAGAAAATGTGCCACTCCATTTCCCAACCCACAGCACAGAAAAAAGTCAATTTTCAAAATTCTACTTCATTACTTCACATTTTACTGAGACCATAGTGTCCAAAGATGCACAGGAATTAACCTACCATATCAGTACATAACATTCTTAGTACCTAAAATTCTCCAAGATTTTGTATTTCCCTCATCAGCTGGTTCTTAATATATCTTCTTTTAATTCTGAAATAGTCCAACTAATAAGCGTTTTAAATATGTTTTTAATAGTGTTCTTAACAGACTGTAACAATTTTTTCAATAGATACTTAACCATACAAGGCAAACACATTTTTAATAGATACTTAACCATAAAAGGCAAAAACATTTTACTCTAGTCTTTAGTAGGCTTTAAATATTTGAGTTTCACTATAAATTCTCATGTAAGTCTAGAGAGTTTATTCAGAATTTTCCAAAAAGACTGCTTCTGTACCTAATTCATACAAAGATGGCTTAACTCAAAAATAGTTTAACAAATCTCCTCCAAAGTCAATTTTATTGAGCATCTAAATTAGGTAGAGAAATTTAATTAAGACCACAAAACAATAGGGTGACAAAGAAAAATCCAAACAATAGTTTGTCGGATATAATGAATGCATATTAACATTCTCTTGCAGTCAAAAATGAAGAACTGGCCACTATCAATACAAGTTCTAGTTTTTTCTTTACTGCTTTAGGGATCTTAGTCTCAAATCCACAGACATAAATTTCATTTTCTTTCTTCATGTATTTTTATAACTTCTTTCTAATTATAATGCACATATACAACAGAAAATCTAGAAAACTGTACAGATAAAAAAGAAGCCATGTAAATCTCCACTGTTCAAAGACAACCATAGTTTAGTCATATTGTCTTCTATGTCTTTTTCTACCTTTGTATGTATATTTTTATACTGGCATCACGTGACATACAAAAACATGAGTTTTTGGGTTTTTTTGGGGGGGGGAGTACCGGGGATCGAACTCCAGACCTTGCACTTGCGAGGCAGGCGGTGGAACCACTGAGCTAAATCCCCAGCCCTGCTTGTTTTTATTTAACATTACATATTATTATCTACTGGAAAAAAGTAAAATTTGAGAATTTCTAAAAGAATATTCATTTACAAGGACATTCACAACAGTGTTCAAAATGTTTTTTGCCCATCCTTACAAATTACATTTTCTTCAGTAAATGACTGGTTATTTACCAATTATAAGGTCTTATATTTAACTTGGGACATACATAACAGGTGCCCAATATTATTTAAATTCTTTCTCCCAATGCCCTTTCTGGCATTCAGTCCCTGACTTCTGGTCCTTTTATACTGCTAGCTGATTTGTATCATTACAGGACACACAGATGAAGGGCTTTACTATAGTTATGACTACAGAGAGTGCCCCTTCATCTAATTCCATGAAAGAATTGGGGGCAGTATTCATACGAGAAACTGTGGCTATATTTCAAATACATTGTATCATGTGTAATCTCTCACAGAAGAAAATCCTAAAAACTACCTGGTCATGAAAAAGTCCTTTTATATATGAGATGGGGGAACAGTTACTGCTTGCAGCCACTGCTAGACCCTCAGCAGTCTGGTGACTATGGTCCACATTGTACTTCCTTCAATGCAACTAAACAACATGACATAAGCCTTCTGAGAACAACTGGAAAAGTTACATAGGCCAGTTTTTCACAGACCGCCTAAACTATACACAACCTGGTGTGAAAAATATGTTGTTTTATGCCCAAGCAGAAAGACTTTTCATGCTACTTGCAGATGTGCTATACAAATAATTGGATTTTTTTTTCTGGAAGAATACAAAACATGAAATTTAAGTTTTTGGGCAGTTTATATAATTCATCAAAATAGATAACAAAAGCAAAAAAATGCTAGTGAAAGGAATCTATTATGAGGACTGAATATGACAAACTACATATTCCACTGAGTATTTCTGCATCATATATATTATTCCCACACAACTATCTTGTCCTTTGTTCAAAACACAAAAACATGGGTTAGAGAAATCCTTGATAACACTTCTGTCTCCCTAATAAGACTTGCACGATGCTCCAAGGAAGTCAAGATTTAATTTTCACATAATTGTAAGAGACAATATTTAAAACAACTCTCTATTTCCCAGGGAGAGAAGATGAGGGATTTCCTAAAGACAATTTGCTAAGAGTCAGTTATAACATAAAGATATTTTCTAAAACGAATTAAAAATGTTCACCTTTTGGGTACTGATATAAAACTTTCAGTCTAGGGAAGCCAAATTAACCACAATAATGACCATGAATGCCTTCTCAACTCCTAGTTTATCTTATAAATTGGTTTTGGAGTAGTACACAGCCTGATGTACTAAAAAACAATATCCTAACCCATTTTTAAATATCAATGGAATTTCTCACATTTTGAGATAAGCATATAACATTCATTAAGAAAACTATAAAAATTACCATGAGTGGGGAGAAAAGGATAATTAAAAAGGTAATACAATCTTCCTGCAACACCATTATACAGTATTTCTGCATTAACAGATTTAAGAGACAAAATATAGAAATGCTTTTCAATAAAAACTCATAAAATGCAGAACAATTTTATTAAGCATTTTTTAAAGTGACCTCTAAATATTTTCTGCTTGTGAACTTCTCAAAGGTTTTGTTCTAAATAGTTGGAAAAAATACATATCATGGTTGGGACTAAGCAAAAAAGAGGAAGACTTGTAAGTGAATGCTTCAAGTCCTTTGTTCTCATTATGCATCAGAATATCTATGTTCAGCATTTAAGGCATAAAGTGAAAATGCAGTTGAATCTAAATGCTGCATTTTGGATTTTAGAACTCCAATTCTCTAATTTATGTTCTGCACTTAAGATGGCTAAGGAAGCAGAATACATTAATAAAATACTTTAAAATCTAATCTGTAATTTTGCATCATGTTAGTGTGTGTTACATATTCTCACAGTATATATTTAAGGAGTAAGTACAGAGCAAGTGGTAAAACGTTTATTTTTCCACGATACTCTGCTAAAAATCATTTAATATGTTATACTGCAATCCACTGAATCTATTAAAAGCTTATTTAAATGAGTACTAAACTGGTTTTATAAAAAAAAATTCTTTAAAATGAAGAAGATCAAATATATTTGTTAGCCCCTGTTGAAAGTTTCTATGGGTGTAAGTATTAAAACACACAAAATTGCAAAAATTTTCCTCAGAAAGATAAATACTAAAATTCTACATTCAAATTCTTGGAGGTGCTGTTCATAATCAAAACACCAACACAAAACCCTTCAAAACTGCATCAAGTATAAGCTGGCTAAAATCTAAGAGATAATTCAGGAGAGATATAGGAGCTTCTTATATTATTTTATATATTTTACTTAAAAATACTGGTCAAGAAATTATTAGAATCCAAATAATAAAAATCTACATATTTAAAAACATTTAAAAAAATCTAACCAATCATAAATTTAAAGGGAGATGAAAAATCATGACTATTTGAAAAACCAAAACTGAAATACATATTTGAATTTTCTTCAAATTGAAATAAATCTCAATAGTAAAGGGAAAATTTTCCTTCACAAAGAAATAAAGAAATTTTAATCTGAAAGTCCTTAAAGTAATGGAGAATGAATCTTTAAAAATGTGTTGTGACTGGCTCAAATATCCAAGGCTAAATCTCACTTGCTGAAGTGATGCATAATTTGGGACTGAAGAAGGTTTTTCAACCTCTTGCTTTCACCATGGAAATAGACCACAATGCTACCCTTACCCCAAGAGTGGACAAAAAAATCTGCCAAGCATAGGCACAATCTTATTAAATTCAGTGAATTAATTCCTTTCTTGAAATTAACAAAATAATATCATAGAAACGTTCAGTTTTACAAGCAGATAATCAAGTTTTCATTTTAATAAAATATTGGTTAAATCATGAAGTAATGTCAGTTTTTAATGCCCTCTATAGTTCTTTGATGATGAAAACATATTCATTAGGTTAAAGTTAGTACAGATGTTTAGAAAGAGCCACAAATTAACTGTATAAACTTCAAATGCTACACACTAGCTAGAATCTGTAAGTCAGAAAAAGAAATTTAGTCCAATAATTTATTTGCAATGCATTTAATTACCTTGAAATTTAAAAACACAACCCAGAGTTATACCATATGACAAACAGAAGGACTGCTGCACATTAGAATGCTATTTCAATATCCAAACTATATCTGATTAAAAACTTATACAACTTATACACTACAAAAACATGTATTTCCTAGTTCAGGTCTAAGGGAAGAATACAAAATTGTTTGGAAAGCATAGATACCATCTTGTTTGCTAAAACCATCAGTTATGTAA